TCCACATAGCTTTCGCAGGAAGTAAGGAAAAAATGTATCTCAATTTCAAAAACTTAGACCTAATTTTTCAAAAATCAAGGTTTATTTTAAGAGGCAATTTTTCTCACTTTCTTTGGTGATACTATTAGTGTTTTTCTGGTAATATTTTGAATGGACTTTTATGAGATATGAGCTTTGATGTTGACAAAGAGAACAAAATATTGATTTTGATGGAAGGTAATGATCTGATATTTAGTATATAGGTCACGCAAAACAACAATTCTACGACAAAAAATCTAACTCAGCATACTGGCTTCCTTAGGATTTTCAAGAGACAAGAGTTAAAGTACCTTTTCTCAGTAAACGGGAAGTCTGCCATGAGCCATGACCACCAAATCTGTACCCTGCGTGCAGAGTCTAGTTAAACTACACTCTGCCTAGTAGAGACCATATTACAGTTTAGTAGCCCCGCCCCCACGACGAGTACCGGTGACAGTTTGGGTAAATCACTTTTGACCAACGCGCTGACATTCCACCAATCAGCGAGCTTGAAGAAACATACGCCAAATGCGTTCTAATTATATATGCGCTTGTCATTGGTCAATTCCGGGCTCAACAATGACGTCAGAAGGAATGACCATATAAAGAACGTCGGTCAAATTTGGCCGACGAACACTGATTGGCGCGGTGAGTTCACAGGTTTATTGTAGTTTGAAAGAGTGAAGACGAAGCTCTCTTTTAAGAAGTGAAGTCAAACGAATGCAAAGGGTACCAAATCTGTATGGTGCAAATGCCTGTGTGTGTGTAATTTTTTTAATTTGAATAACGTTTTTGGTGGACATGGCAGAACACCTGTAAACAGTTGTTCAATCCAGAGAGAGGGTTCATTACATGTATGACTAAATCAATGGGAAATTTAAAGGTGTTTATGCTACCCTGTTGAGGGGTGTTCCATTGGGAAGGATTTACTCTATATAAAACAAGAATTTTTATTTATAAGGTTTATTACTACTGACATTTTATTTCTGCGATACCAACTGATCATAGACATACAAATTCACCATATACACATATGATTGGAATACTGTGATCAGATTGATCTGAGGGGCCAACCATAAAATCTTATGAGGGGACTAGTCTCATATAAAAACATTCCTCCTTTAAATCGAAAGTAATCGAATGGAAAGCTATTTTGTGCCCAGTTTGGATAAATAGTTCTATTTTTGGCTGCATTGTGTCCCCAAACATAGCTAGTTAAAAATATAAAAATAATTCAAGTGTTGATAATAATACGGATCCAGTTACAAATAAATTTAGATTAAAAGTTGGATTAAAATTAAGGTAATGTCCCTCTAGATCAAATGGCTCACATATTTTCTTCCTTTTTACATAGGAACACAATAAACATAAAATGCTTATTTATTATATAAATATTAACTAAAATAAATGATTATACATAACTTTCAATTTGGATGATTTTGTACAATGATAAATCTGATCTGAAATGCATTAAAAATTCATTTTATAAAACTAAAATTTTGTCAATTATTTCTTAATTACACTGTCATTAGTTGTAAGTCACTTATGATCGATTTCAAATAAAATTACATTTAAACACAAACTCCATGCAAATATATTCATCTTCATCTCATGCTAGACCAAGAGGAGGGAAAACCTCATGATTCAATCAATGACATACGATTTCCTCCTTCGCGCACCTCCTTTCCCGAAAGTACTTGCCCTCCATCTTTGTTTTCAAAGTTTTCAAATTGACCTAGTTTTAAACCAATCAACGATCTACTCGCTAAACCAATCAGCGACGATGTCATCTCAATACAGATTTACATTATACGCGTATGTCATCTTTGAACCCTGGGGTTTCTCCCCCTCTTTGCTAGACCACAGCTTTCTTCAGTTCCTTTCTAAATGCTAATTTGAAAATAGAAATATGAGATGTTGAGTATAAGAATGATTCGCTCTGTACTTAAAGTAAAGTGCTACTCTACTGTTTTTTCACTTAAAAATACAAACTGTCTGTTATGTACAAAGCATTACAACAAGATGTTATCTGTCATATCATCCAGGAGAAGGGATAATGAGACAAGAATTTAACATGCAAAATGTCACCACCTGCCATTTATTACAGACATCAACCACGGAACACAGACTGTGGAACACCAACAGCCGAACACCATCCACTAAATAGTTGGAAACTACAATATGTATGTCAGCACCATAAAAATGTCAAAATACACCTGTATTATCTCAGTTCTGAATCATGTTATGTTATCTATTATTCCAAAGTACTCTGCCAAAGCACTACAAGGCATTAACAAGTGACAAAATGCCACCACCTGATAAGTTATTGCAAATGGTTACAGAAGTAACAATACAGAAGTAACAATATGTTACAGATAATGACTGTCAATGTAATTCACAAAAATGGTGGCTATTACAACATGTAATCTCTATTTGGTGATGACCAACTAGAAAACGGCAACTCCAAGGAGTAGCAAATCCCAAAGAACACTGTTATACAGTATACTGGTATGTGGAAAAAACAAACTCGGAATATATATGCAATAGATAGATGTTATGAATATACTATCAAAATTTCAAACAATAATATTTATTGCGTTGGTTTAAAATGAAAAAGATTTTCACGAAAAATTCCCGCCATTTTGAAAGCAGCGGCCATCTTGGAAATTTATTTTGTTGTGTACAACTATTAACCAATATACATCTTTCCATCAAATATGAACAAAATCTGTCCACTAGTAGTAGAGTTATCTTCCAGACAGACAGACGGACAGAGGGCTTCACTATATCCCTACTGAACTTCATTCGTTGGGATAATAAAGTGAGAAAATAGTCGCAACGGTACAAGAGGCAAACGTTTCTTTTAACCCCTCCATCAATGATGTTTTTAACGTGAAGTTGTTCTAGATCACATTTACTCATGCACTGTACCTATTAGATCATGAAATATAGACTTTAATATTTTCACGGAACAGCACACAATATGTAAGCCTGGATAGCAAGCAATATAAATATGTAATACAAAGCTCCGTTAAAAATAGAACAACACGTTACAACAGGTTTGAAAAATCAATATTACATCATAATTTAAGTTACATCACTGTTAATCCAGTATGAATTTTAGTAATTTTCTGAATGTGATGACTTCAGTGTGACCAAGTATGACCATGTTTAAGAATGCACTAATGGTCAGTTAAAAATAACTAGAAAAACAGCAACTCCACGGAGTAGCAAATCCCACCGAACAATTTCAACCAAATCTGTTCACTGGTATTTGAGTTATCAAAGACTACGTTTTTTACGAAAAATTGCCGCCATTTTATATAATTAAGCGGCCATCTTGAAAATTTTTTGTTGAACGTATATCATCATATAAAATTTGAACCAAATCCGTTCACTGGTATTTGAGTTATCAAAGATAACATATTGTACGAAAAATGGCCGCCATTTTGAAATTAAGCGGCCATCTTGAAAATCTCTTTTTGTGCGAAACTCCTTTGTCCCTAGGCATCAGCATATAAAATTTGAACCAAATCCGTCAACTTGTATTTGAGTTATCAACGATTACATTTTTTACAATAAATGGCGGCCATTTTGAATTGAGCGGCCATATTGAAAATTCCTTCTCATGCAGAGGTCCTACACTCATAAGGCATAAGCTTATAAAATTTGAACCAAATCCGTCAACTGGTATTGGAGTTATCGCCTGGACACACGGACAAACGAACGAACGGACGGATGACTTCTCTATATCCCCATCGAACTTCGTTCGTTGGGACAATTAGGTATAATTCAGTTGAAACCAAGATCTAAATGTTCTTATAATTTCTGTACAATATCTATACAGCTTATAAATAGGAGAACAACAAATAGCTATCTCGGCAACCTCCGATCACAGGGCTTCAAAATCCAGAATATATTCTTTCTTTTTAACCTGCGATAAGCAGTTAGCATTTCCCCGATTAAGAACTCGCAATCTGATTGGCTGTCACAAAACTGTGACAGAAATCATGTTTTAGTCATTGCGCATAATAAGATCACATGATTCAGTTTAATCAAGCGCTTCCAAATTGGCTATAGCAGGGGGGAAGAAGGAGGTATGGATTCTGGACACCTGCTCAGGAGGATGCTATCTAGGTATTGTTTGTAATTTCATTGCCATAAATCAGAGTTGGTACATAAAATGGGATGGATGATCAATTGTATTACACAAGATTACAATGACAAACAAGGCATTAACATGGAATATGACACTACCTGACATTTGTTACAGACACCAACCACCAATGTCAAGTACATTTACATGCAAGGGGTTTCATTAGCAGCAGACAACAGGCGATTTCACCAGTTGTTTTCCCAAATCGCCTGTTGTTTTAAGGTACTTTTCAACTTTTCCATGTTAAATTTATGATTTTTATTAATTTTGCCATTTGTTTTCATTTTTTAGCCTGTTGTGAAAAATTCTAGTGAAACCCCTGACGATGCTAACTAATTTGAAAGCTTTACTTTTTAGAACTGACATTGACACATCAAACCCTACAAAATAGCTTTTAGCCAGACAGAGTGGCTCATATAAAAGTGAATTTAAAAAATAAAAGGTTCATCCCCATACTCTCATGTTACTTTGGAACTACATGTATGTATTTATTTAATATTTACAAACTACATAATAGTTAAAATAATGTGACTTGTGAATATTTATGAGCTGTCTTATGGACACCACTGGATTCTACACATAATCGCATTTGTTCAAAGGACAGTGGATAATGGGATCTTTAGGGAACCTTTGAACAAAAAAATTTAAACTCTGAAAAAGTTTATTTTTGCTCAAAGAGAAGATTATATGTAGAATTTTATGCAAAATGTTTGATGCGACCCCTTAAAACACTCTGATCTCCCTCTGAACGTTTTAAACTTAGACCATCATGAAAAATTCTGCACCACTATACTGAAGCAGGGCGCTCGCTAGCACCACAGTCTATTGGCCAATGATGATTGTTTCCACTGTCTAAACTTGACTGAATACACAATAATAGCATTTCAAAAGGATAAATATAACATAAATACAATTTATCATGATTAAACGATTGATTATGCCGAAATCTTTCTACCACACCTTAAATATTTCCCACAGACTGGTGAGAGCCCTGCTTGGTATCAAACTTCCTACATTTTACCCATTCTGAATGTTTTGAACTTTTATCTTCAGAATGAAAATTCCGTAAAGTACATGTACAGAGTTTTCATCCAAGTTTCTCAATTATCAATTGCCTGGTTTCTGAGTTGTCATCTGGGTTTCAAAATTGTCGGTATCGTGTTAGGAAGATCAGGGATGTCAATGGATCATAACACGTTGGTTTTAACGATTTACAAATTAGGCTAACATTTCTAATCATAATATGTACAGAATACAAAGAGTACATGAACACATGTACATACAATATTTACCATATACTATACAGTGGATGTATACGCTGTATATATACAAAATTAGTGTAATTGTCTCGAATATTTACACAACTTATTAGGAGGTAACAAAGAATAGGCCAGTTCTGCTATCAAAAAATATTTCCTCATATATATATCATGAGTAAAAACTTGGGGGAGATAGCTGACCACTTTAGCAGCTTCAAATAAAAAATATCTCCAATGATCAATATGACTGAAGAAACAAGGAGAGAATGACTTCTAATTGCTAAATTAGTTTCGTATATATTAGTTGAACCCAGCCCCCCCACCTCAGTCTCAGGATATTCCTTTTCAGCCCCATAATTATCTTTCTGTAAGAGGTCAGATCCCCCCCTAGTATTATCTGTAGGTGCGTAATTAAATCTGAAGACTAATTTACACATATTATGATTCTAAGTGACTTATTTCTTATTGTGGCTATTGATGAAATGTGATGTAAATGAATATACATCCGAATAGCGTGTTGCACAGAGATTGCACTGCCAAGGGTCATATGGTGAATGCATACCCTTGTGCATGAGATAAATAGCCTGGTCAAAGAACATTATCTTACAGTGGTCACACATCCAAGAGTTGTCTGCTCCACCGTGTGGTATTGTCCCCTGTCCATGACTTTTGATTTGCCCTTTACCGGACATTGTCAGCACCTCCCTGGGCATTTCTTTATACTCAAATGGTCGGCCTGCACCCCCCTGGTGCATTGGAGCAGCCCCTGGACCCATAGGTCTTCCTGGCCTAGGGCCCATCATTCTGTTGTTATATGGAGATCTAGGGCCTTGGATACGAGGATTAGAATTAAATAGAACTGTTTGTTTTGGTCTCGGTCCACCCATCATATCTGATCCGGGACGTTTCATCCCAGGTGAAGGCATCCGTTGGCCCATTTGTCCGGGGGATCTCATCCGAGGACTGGGACCCCCTAAACCGGGAGACATTTGCCTCATTCCATTAGCCATAGGGCCCTTCTCTGGGGTCCGCTGCATCATCATATTTGGGGCAGGAACCCTTTGTCTAGGGCTGCCTTGAGTGAGTCCCATTGGTTTGGGGGCAATTTGTCGCATTTGTTTCTTTCGTGTGTCACTAACAAAACTATCCATTATAATGATCTCGTCATCATCATCATCATTGTCAACACTTGGTTTACTATTTGATGAGTCGTTATTTGATCCTGGGGGTACACTGGGTGTGGAGCCTGATCCATTTAAAGGGGCGCTACTACTGTTAGTATTCCCACCCTCAATGAGACCAGAAGTTTGTAGAGCATTCTGACGATTTTCATTAACAACATTCTGTATGGAAGAATTAACGATGCTCTCAATGTCCTTTAAAGTTGTACACATGTTGGGGGACATTCCCTGCCCTCCTAGAGCAGGGGCGCTAGTGGTAGTCGGTGTGGCTGCTCCTGAGAGTCTTTCTGTACTAGATGGGGAATTATTACTCTGGGGACTTAAGTCAGGGGGACCTGTAGCATTAAAATCCTGTATGATCTTGTTCAAAGCCCCAGGTATAGATGGTTTTATACCAGGTTCAGTCTTAACAGGGTATGATGCATAATCACAATTGCCCAACTTTTCTGTCCCGACTTCATTTTTAATACTAAATACTGTCGCTTCCCGTTTAATCTCCAAGTAATTGTTCCCAACTGGAGTATGAGGAATCTGTAGACCCTGAGTGGGTGGGACATTAGGAGGTGGGATAGGGTTTGATGCATCTGTGTCTTTTTGACTCGCTGATGACATCATACTTTCTGGTGTGCTGGGGCGTCTAGAACTAACAGAACTTGACTTTTCTGGGGTAGGGGTATGACCCGGAGTGAGTACAGGTGTCTCTGAGGTTTCTGATCCCGAAGCACTAAACACTCCACTGATCCTTAATCCTGGGGGATTAATAGATGGTAAGTCTTCACTAGTGCAAGGAGATGGTGTTCTTAATGGTTCTGTACTCGAACCGCTCGACTCTCCGCGTGATACACTACCTGGCGTATCAGCGTGGTTTTTCTTGAGATGCTGCATTAAGTCTGCTTTACGTTTTCCCTTGTAATCGCACTGAGTGCATGGGTACTGTGGTTCAGAATGGATCACGAGATGTGATCGGAGTTTTGCTTTGGTGTTGGTGGAATATGTACAGTTTGCACAGCTGAATGTAGCTTCTGACATGCTATTTAAACGTACATCCTTCAATGGTATCCTGCAACAAAATAATCAAAAATTTATAATAGTAAATCCCTTTTATATACTAGATGCAAGAAGAAATAATCTTTTATGTCATTAAATATTTCCAAATTTAGTCAAAGCGATAACATATTTGAAATCCAAATGTAAAATTACATCTAAAAATATGGTTTTAAAAAGTGTTTAATCAACTTTGAAAATGTCCTTGAAAATACCCTTGAAAATATGACTTCTAGGTCAGGGAGATTCCCCATAGACTCTTTGTTATAAAATCACGAAAAATGAATTTTTTTTCTTGCATTGGACAGATAATATTTTCTTTTACTGGACATATTTTAATTTGCATAACTATTTGATACACAAGATAAATTGCAAAAGGAACAATGAAAATGTGACCTCTAGGTCAGGGAGATTCTCCATAGACCCTCACTGTTATAAAATCACAAAAAAATGAAATTTCTTTCTTGTATTGGACAGATAATATTTTCTTTTACTGGACATTTTCTTTTCTCTTGAAAGCCCATGGATAAGCAGGGGTTTCATTAGCAGCAAGCAACAGGCAATTTTCACCAGTTGTTTTCAGGGACTTTTTTCAATTCCATTATCAATTCAATTCATTTCTTTCATAATTCTTATATAATATACACTATAAAAACAAGCGCTAGACACCCTAGTGGGTAATGGGTATATGTTGCGGTTTAACAGATATTCTTAAAATAACATCTAGACTACATATAAAAGAAAGCACTTACATTATGCTATCAACTTATCAACTGTTCCATGTTTTATTTATGATTTCCATTAATTTTGCCTGTTGTTTTCATTTATTTAGCCTGTTTTGAGAAATTCTAGTGAAACCCCTGGATAAGGGTACGGTAACGTGAAAATTGAACCACTAAAACTGATGAATATACAAGCTTAAGGGAACTTTCTAATACCCTGCCATGTTATCTGGCCAGAATTAGTCACTTGGTGGTGAAACCGGTGACTACAGTAGTATACTATAGTGACGTGAATCAGTATAGATGGAACTGCCAAGGTCACCGTGGTAGCAAAAAGTGACGTAAAGTGACGTAATACTTGACCTTGGGTGCGGATTAAGGTTACCAATAGGGGATATGATGTCACTTCTGCTTCCACCTTTGGACCCATAACATCATAAGTAAACACAGGGTGGCATAATTTATTTTAATCCCCACCGAGATAAGTGGATGGGCTACTATAAGAGTGGTATTATGATTATGACCAGTGTAGTCATTAACGGCCTTCATGGCAGACATTCTTACGCAGAGAAGTGCCTTATAAAATTAGTTACATCAGGGAACTCAGTCAGTTAGTTATTGACAGCCAGTCAGTCAACATGAAATTGGAGCCCTATATTGATGACCCAGATAAGTGGTCAAAGTTTCTGAAAGCGTCCGAATACAAGCTGACACCCATGGAAAGTAAAATGTACTCGAAGAATGGGAAACTGATAAGCTACAAACTTGGATTTTTAGAAGATCTCCCAGACTTAGAAGATAAAACTGCCTGGGAGTCGTTGAGACGAGATGGACCTGGTCAGTTTGGAAATGGGAATAATGTTCACTAAGAGAAAAAGTCCTTACTACTCATAATGGATCAGGTGTACGAAATTTGTCAAAAATGAAGGATGCTGGACCAATGATCATGAGAAAGTTGACGAGGATGAAAAAGTTGTCAAAAAAGCAAATAAACGCTAGAAGGGATAGGCGAATAGAAATGGAAAACTTGAGATTTCGCCCATACAGATACTAACTCTGAATATATATTTCCCTAAGTTGACCTCTAAATGTCCACCAGTTCATCCACTGGAGAGAGATATTGACACATGTTACAAGCCCACATGCCCTCCTGATTCATATGATCATCGTGTAACGTGGCTAAGCAATTCATGTCCTTTATAGCTAAGGGGGGGGGGATGAGCCTGTGAATGTTGTCCAAAATATCCTCCATCTCCTCAAAATTGACAAACACTGACCAGCGTTGGGTATATTTTTGCTTTACTTGGTTGTGATGGTTCGATGTCATTTCAAAAAGGACTATTATCGAATACACTTTGAACTCGTATCCAAGTTCTAAGTGTTGTGGTACATTCAAAGGTATATCCAATGTCTGATTTTGAACTGGTAAATCATTTAGAATAGTATGCATATACTCACGAATAACGTTTTGTCATTCTAAATCAGAGAACACAAAGGACAACACCGTTATCAACGTATTATCAACCTATTTCTATATCTATTTTAGTACTTTTCATGGAATCTTTATTTTTATGAAGTTCTTATTGTATGACTTTGGTTTTATTATTTTCATCAACCCTGTTTGTTGTACTATCTGTCCTGACAACTGTGGAATATGACGTCAACCTATTCGTAAATCTTACTCTAAACAATTGGAAAGTTACGAATGACTAACGAAAGCGTACAAAAATGATCCATTCGCAACTTTACGAATTCGTAACTCATTCGTAACTTTTTAAATATTTACGAATTTACGAATTGCGAAGGTTCGTTACTAGGAACGGTACAAAAACGGGGCCCAGGTTATCATGTAGTCAAACTCCTGTCGAGGTAGTCATGCAAACTGCGAACTGGTGGGTACGCATCCTACTCGCTTCTCCTTGTTTACAACGATAAGTTTAAGTTGAAATGTTTGTATAACGACGTGGTCCCCCTTCATGTATCCGTGTATTCTAGTGCGATATTCCTCTCGGATCTCTTTTCACCACTGTTAGATAATACATATAATTCAAACTGACAACATCAAAAATTGACCATATCAACAGTTTTTATTCATCAAAGTGTTTATTTGATGCATAACAATAAGTCATCATGAAAACGCTTAAGGTTGCCCCGCCTATCCGTGACAATGGTTACCATTGTAACCATAACTTAGTCAATACTATGTTGGGTGTCTGGAGGATAGAATAAGGTCAGATATGTGTTGCTTATGTAGTAAAAGTTTCATGAAGAAAAATGCAAGATAACAAAAGTTATAACAAAATTAGCAATACTTATTGAACGCCCTGTAGTTCTCTTAAAACGTGTAGCTTAATCTCTCTACTAGTTCTTTCGCTAATAATTATTTGGTTCCACTTAATTTTCTACTGCGCATTCGGTTTCAACATTGTACCGATATCGATTTTTTATTTAAGCGTACCCATTTGAAATTAAAGGCCAGACAATCATATAATATTTTATTTAAAATCATGTAGCCATTCACATCTCACCTCTGTTTGCTGCATTTCTTAGAATGCCTGTCCCGAGAATAAGGGTAATCAAACTCCTCCAAACAAGTGGGACAGGAGTATGTCTTGTCTGTGTGCTGTGCTCTCCTGTGTCTATTTCGAGAGCTCACATTCGCAAACGACTTGCCACAAATCGAACACACGAATGTCTTTTCTTTACCCATTGCTATAAAATGATAAATTGTACAAAACCGGTTGGCAGTTTTTCTTCCATGATAAAGAAATGTAATTTTTTCAAGAAATCATTAAATATAATTTTCAATAGGTAAAATTAAAATACTCACAGTTATTTTATGATATATAGAAAAAATATCCAATATATTTAGATGTATACAGATACAGATCCTTACAAATGTACGATCCAAACGTCTAAGCCAGACAAGTGAATTATACTGAACTGACCAATACAGAATATCCTTTTTTATTAAAGGACGCTTTATTTTTGCCAATCATTTGAATATATATAAGTGTGGTAGCAGAATTATTGATTTTTCTTTCAAGGCCAGATGTTTTGAATAGGTACCTATACAAAGCCAGTTGAGTGTACACGTAAGCTTAAATCTTTGTATTTATGTAGGTATGGTTTATAGGTTTTGGCAATCCCATCCACTTATCTCGGCGGGGATTTAAATAAATTCTGCCAACTCGTGTTTACATATGATGTAATGGGTCCTAAGGTGGTAGCAGAAGTGACGTCATAATCCCCTTGCCAAAGCAGCTGTTCATATTATCTTCGGATATAGGATGTCCTGATGTTATCTTCTAGCGCCCGTAACGAATCTACGACCTGCTGATTGCTGATCTAATATTTTTCTACAGCTTGCTTCTTGTATTTTGTTCTTGAATATAACTTCTTATTTTAGGGTTCTAGGCTTCTAATTATGATTATTTATTAATTGTTTCATATCTCATCTCAGCTCTGGTTCTCATCATACCCTCTCTCTCTAACTCTATCTCTGAGGTCAACTGAACTTCTACTATCTGCCTGTAACTTTTACTCTACTAATTAATATTACTATTTCACACTTACTTGTAAATTGGCTCATTATCTACACTAACTTCTTATAATTACTCTGTTTACATCACACCCCTATAGCGTGGTAGCTCACCCTGCTACCACATTTTACAGTGTGGTAGCAATTTACTAATACCACTCTTATCGTCGCCCATCCACTTATCTCGGCAGGGATTAAAATAAATTATGCCACCCCGTGTTTACTTATGATGTAATGGGTCTTAAGGTGATAGCAGAAGTGACGTCATAATCCCCTATTAGTAACCTTAATCCGTGCCCAAGGTCAAGTATTATGTCACTTTTTGCTACCACGGTGACCTTGGCAGCACCATCTATCAGTCGTATGTCATACTGATTCACTATGCTTGCATATTAGAAGAAGATCTAGATGCTGGGTTATATCATCATCATTCATGTTATCATCAACAGTCATGTCATAGGCGTAGCCAGGGGGATGCGATGGGTGCACCCCCCCATAACCAATGAAAAAAAAAGCATGAGATAGAAGAAAAGAGCTTTAAAATATTATTTTTTTATTATATTTTTTTTTAAAGTTTCTAGCTTAATTTTAAAGTAAGTTCCATAATTTTTTGAAAATTCAAAACAAATCTTATTTTTTGGCTTGTTTATGCCATAATTGCGCTCTTCTGACTGAAAACCAAAATCTCTTTGGCGATCGCACCCCCAAACTGAAAGCTGGCTTCGCCCCTGCATGTTATGTCATTGCAGAACTGTTACAGGCCGGGTTACAGGGCATAACATGCAAAATATTTATTACAGATGCCAAACACCAACCACTGGGTGCCGAACACCAACCACATAGCACTGTGCACAAAAAGTTGAAAAGATAATTTATAGGAATGTAATATTTACAGTTTTATTTTGAAGAAGTTTGATCAAATGCTTTTATCTGAATTAGGCCTTCCTGATAAGCTGGATTATTCACATATGTTCATAGCTTGCTATTTGTTATTGTTAATTATATTAATTTTGTTGTGAATGTTATGAAAGCTGAACAACTCTCAACAAGACAAAATTGAATTTTACTGGTTTTGGCCATTGTTGCATATTACTGCAACTGGGATACAGAATAATTGACAATTTCAAATTTTGCAGACAGTCCTTCAAATGTAACCTTTCTTGCCTTTGGCTACATACAATACTAAAAAATAGCCAAGGTCATACAAACCCTGAAAAATCACCATGCACATCTACAGAATTTAAGTATATGTTAGGTTTTTCAGATTTTCAATTAAACAATTGTGCAAAAGTTGCAAAAACACAACTTTCTCAAACTCACAATTTGTAGGTGTCTGATCGCATCAAGATATTATACTGTATTCCTATACCCGCTTCAATAATCTGTTTAATGAGGTACAACATACAGTCAAAACAGAAATGTTTGTGACTACTTTGAATTTAAAAAATAAGCAATCAAATGACCATATTGAAACAGTTTATGTAAAAATAGAAACATTTATATTTATCCTAACTTTTGTATATTTTAGTTTGTTTTGTAGTTAAGCTATCATATCTGTGTCCTCTAGTCTTATATTTTGATACTTCTCTGCCATGTTATTTTCGGAAATATTAACATTGCTGAAACTCCCTTAATTACAAAAGGCCACAGCTTAAAGTTAGGATAAATATAAATGTTTCCATTTTACATAAACTGTTTCAATATGGTCATTTGATTCACAAACATTACTGTTTTGACTATAGTTGTTTTGAGACACTGGTTGATTAAGGGGGGAGGCTAAGATGGGCCTAGAAAAAAAATTGTCCCAAATTTTGTCGGCTTTCATTTTGGTTGTGACATTGCTTTTGCATCGCCGGTCTGTGGTTTTACAAAAGTTTTGATAATGTAGATTGTTTTACCTTTATTACATGGTAGAAACACTGTATACATGTTCCTCTAGTAAAAACCATTTTGTGCCTGAATTTGTATAATACTGGCGTCCAAAATGCCTGGAGCTTAGTTGTGTTTCAATGGGTGAGTGTAGGGATTGTGGCGATACATTACGCGAGGGACATTCATACTCATTTCAGATTGGACCAAGTGAGGCTTGAAACATGTATATATCGGGAAGATGGGAATATTTATTTTATATTTATTTGAGAATGAGGAGTGTAAACATCAACATGCATTTGAAAAATTCAAATAAAATGAAAGAAAATGCTAAGTTTCCTGACCTAGTTTTCAAAATCCCATTTCAAATGGTATCTAGACAAAAAACGTGCATTATGGCCGTGTCTTGATTTAGCTTAAGAGGAAAAGATTTATATTAATTGTATAATCAGCGTGTAAACATTCGCTAAAATGAAGGAATAACACAAAAACTTACCAGAATCCACATCTCACATTTCATTTAAATTTGTATTCACCAGGTGGCGCCAAAATTGATGCATTGTGGGTACAGATTTACAGTTCTTGCAGGGTTTATTACGTGCAAAGAACTTCAATGTATGCAAAATTTGGCCTTAATTTGCCATAAGAAATTGTTAGTTGTGGCAATTTAATTAAAAATTTGATAGATATGAAATTTTGATGACAAAAAATTGTGAAACACAAAGAAAGGAGAGAGCCAACATTGAAATATTCAAACCCCGTTGGAGGGTTCAACAATGTCTGCCGGATCAATCGAAATCCCACTTCGGGATACTGACGAGGTTTGTACTGTTTTTATTGAATTTACTCATGATCAAGCTACGATAATGAGACTCAATACACGAGGTACACTTGCGAACATTCAGTTCAAATTTCACAGTGAAAATCTTCACGATACCATCATTATTTTAATTTTAGAGGAAGCACATGTTTACTTCCGGAAGTTTTTGTTTCAAAAAGTTTGTTTTCAATCTGAAGAATGTGATTGTTCCGTGCTTTTGTTTACAGTACATTTGTAGGTGTGATATATATACACTGTCAGTAATATCATTGCTTTGTTCACATCTTAGAGACTAGATGTAACCTAGGTGCATTCATGCACCCTCTGGGTCTCTGAGGATCGTGTTGGCCCCAGGGGTGCATAACATGCAATGTAAATTTATCAAATTTAAGAAATGCTGAAAAGTCCGGATCTGATGTTTTTGACTTTTCTCCCAAGATCTTACCTCAATCTTGAAAATTCTTTCACCACTGGATAGCGGGACCAAAAATCTTCAAAATGAACCCATAAATGCCTCGCTTTATTACAGTAATTATGTGTAATCGTTGCAGATAAGACGAAATTGCATTTCTGACCGGTCTTCTTGACATTTTCGCTGACCTAATTTCAAGTGCGCATGCGTTGCATAAATCAGTGTGATGATCACGTGACGTGACGTAATTTGATGATCACGTGTTGTAATGTTTTCCAATAACCAGTTGGTAAACTGCTATAGTGGATTCTTGATTCAATATGTTTGTTATCACGTCTTGTAACTGTTCTGGCTTCAAATCAAATCCAAACTTTGGTTTTATGTTATGCGAATAGAGATCATTGATTTCTTCCATTGAATACATGATGGTCGAATGAATGATATAAACTCTGTATAGTTAAATAGATGGCAGCAATATTCAATGGCTACTCTCGTCAAATCTCGTGAGAATAGAAGCCGCCATAAAGATTTTGTGAACAGAAGCGACAAACGGCGATTTTGCTACAAAATTAGCACAATTCAACCTTCTACAACCACAAAGCTATGGTAATTTTTTGTATAAATCATCAATGTATCCATTTTGTTTATATTTCTCTGTAAATGACGCAGAGATTCTAAGCAGAAGATTAAAATAAAGTGAACCGTCAAAAATAATCAAGAAAAACTTAGATTGGCATGAATTTACAAGGATAAACACCGCCTCTAATGCAAGTCCTTACGACAATCCAACGCATTAGAGGCGGTGTTCACCGTCTAGATGTAACCAGACTCAATCTGTGAATCAGGAGTGCACCATTACTACTTTTTGCAAGGCCTGACTGCGTCGCTAACATGCTAAATATAAGAGTTAGCTGACGTTTGGGAGTCTGACTTACCTTCTTAAGGTTAGAACCCGAATCTTAATGAATCCATATCACCTTTGTTGCGTCGATGATGATGCATAAACATAGCATTTGATAGAAATTAGCGTGAATGCTTTTCCGACTTTTTCATTTTTCATCAATGTTGACTTCCGGGAAGGCGTTGTAGTTATCACGAAATAACGCATTGACCCTTGAACTTTACTTTGTTGACGTGTCAACCAAGCATGTCTGGTGTGAAAATTAAAAGAATATTAAGCAATGTTCTACATCCGCCAAGCTAAGTGAAGTAGTCAATATTTAAGGACAGGGTGCATGTTGGGAAATTTTCTGCATTCCTCAATTGAGTCACATGTTATTTTTCAAACATGAATAACTCTTTCCCCACATTGTCTACATCTTCCAAGTTTTCACAAAGAGTGCACTTCTGTGCCTAGAAAAGCCTTGTGAGAGGGTTTATTTTGTAAAATGTATAAAAAATGAGAAAATTCAGTGAAAAAATTTTTTGAGAATTTTCTGATTTTTTTCACTGAATTTTCTTGTTTTTTATACACTCTATCAAAACATTCTTCTCACAAGTCTTTTCTAGGCACATAAGTGTACTCTTTGTGCAAAACTGGAAGATATAGACAATGAAGGGAAGGAGTGATTCTTGTTTGAAAAATAACATGTGACTCAATTGAGGAATGCAGAAAATTTCCCATCATGCACCCTGACCTTAAAATTACCAATTTCAAGTGAAGTACGCAACGAACGAAACTGCGTGATCTACACTCCCACTATTGGTCTGAATGAAATGCTACGTAGAAATATGAGCCGTCTGCTGTATTAGTCGATTAATAGAGTAAGACCTGTTGGTGATGCTTTATAATTTAGACCAAAACATTGAAGAACAAACGAACCTGTAAATCGTGAAAACAACGAACAAATATTCGGTTTTCACATATGTTCGGTAATTTTTCGTATTGAAACTTCCGGAACTTACAAGGAAATCATTCATTTTCTCGATCCATGATTTACCTCTTGGATGTTGTGGCAAATGCTCCATGGTTGACGGAACAAAGGTGATATGGTTTCATTAAGATTCGGGTTCTAACCTTTAGAAGGTAAGTCAGACTCCCAAACGTCAGCTAACTCTTATATTTAGCATGTTAGCGACGCAGTCAGGCCTTGAAAAAAGTAGTAGTCGACTCTTGAAAGCATACGACTCTCATTCATTTGTGACTCGAATTACTCTATCGAGCTGGGAAGTTCGATTGGAATTTCTTAAAAATTACGAGCCCATTTTGACTAAACGCTGTGCTGAGTAGCATTAGGTCAGGGTGCATGTTCGTAATTTCGCTGCAACCCTCAATTGAGTCACATGTTATTTTTCAAACTTGAATCACTCCTTTCCCACAATGTCTACATCTCTCACTTTTGCACGAGCATACATGGGCGTAAGGCTATATTTTGAGTTGGCAGCACACTCGGGAATGCCTGATTGCCTAAGGCCGCGCATCGCGTGGGGCCCGGAAGTATTAGCAGTACTGTCAACCCTTAAAGATTTTCTCGCGGGACAGATTTTTTAGACCCAGTGCCCAAAATTCGCGGGATTTTGCGGGACATCTACTAAATTCGCGGGATTTTGCGGGACATTTAAGGGATTTGCGTGATTGCGCTAATAGGAGATTTTTTTTATCAAATTCGCGGGATTTTGCGGGACCATTCGAGGGACAAACACCCTAATTGCGGGACAGTTAACAGGTGTACCACCAAAAACTTCATAGAGGGACAGATTTTTTAGACAAAGTGCCCTAAATTTGCGGGATTTCGCGGGACATCCACCTAAATTTGCAGGATGTCCCGGGACATTCAAGGGATTTGCGTGATTGGGACTAATGTAAAAGCGTGTAGAAGTACTTAAAGGAATATTCCTTGCCAAACCATCTCTCTCCTCATATGGTAGCTATAACCATATATATGCTTGCCATGTTTAGCAAAACACGCAAAAATGTTTTGATATGGTCAAATTTGATCACTTAGAAATGTGATGCTCAATTCCAGTAAGCTGCCATCTTTTAAAATTTTACACAGGAAGTGATGTCATCGACTCTCAACTTTGCATATAGCATTAGGTGAGGAGCTATTAAGAATTACAAAACCAGCTAAATATTCTTTTTCAACTTTGTATCTTATTTAATCGTTCTGAAAATCTCTTCTTTTATTCTAAGTTGACAAGCCCTGAAAAAGTTTTTGCACAGAAAGTAATGATCACTTGTCTAGAAGTGATTTTGTGCTGCTTTCCTATACTGTTATGGGCAAGGTTATAGAAGTTGAGAGTTGATGACATCACTTCCTGCAAGAAATCTTAAAAGATGGCAGCTCACTGGAAATGAGCACTAGATTTTTAAATGATCAATATTGACCATATTAAAACATTTTCCCATGTTTTGCTAAATATGGAAACTATATATATGATTATAGCTACCATATCAAGAGAGAAAGGGTCTGGCAAGGAATATTCCTTTAAATCAAACTTTCAGATACTGATTAATCAAATATAATGCACCGTTACATTGTAACTTAAATAAACGTCAACACAATTTCACAAAATACGCATAGGAATATTATTAAACTTTATTGTAATTTATCAAAAACAAAAACCATGCTTCAGGTGTGATTACCGTAATCTAACACAAAATTCAAAAATTCGGAACAATACTTTGCACTTCTGGCGTCGTGACCAACTATGAAACGCTTACCCCCATAATGTTATATATTAAAATGTACCTATTCATATACTGTAGGCATGGGCTTTCAATTGAAAGCCCATGATATAGGGGTTCGATTAATCTACATCAAATTATAGGGAATGAGGTTAATTTTCTAGATAGGGTTTGTATAAAAAACTGGGTACCGGGTAGTAAATCCTCCATGCTGGGTTCAAACTTGTACAAAAATGTATGTAACTTCCTTCAAAATTGAGCTAGAAGCTTCAAATAAAAAGCATTTTAAGGCTCTTTTCTTCCTCTATCATCTTGGTCATATTTCCATTGGTAATGAAGGGGGGGGGGGGTGCGATCAACCAACAACAGCATGCTAGGTACTTAAAATTAGGTAAACTTTACTCCTCAAAAGTGCAAAAACTTAGCTTCTTATATAAGATAAGATAATCAAAATATAGGGGATTGCAACAATTTCGGAAATTGGCGGAGGTCAAAGCCACATTTTGCGGGACTTCGTGGGACAAAGCGGGACACGTGAATTAGCCTAATTTTGATCAAATTCGCGGGATAATCCCGCCATTCGCGGGACACTTGACAGCTCTGTATTAGTCATATAAATCCGACCATCGTATGCTATATTTCTCGTTATTTTTTGATAGTTTGGATATTTATTTTCTATTATTTTCTTGCATACTAGGGTCGTAAAAATTACCTTATTGGAAATTGCGGGAAACGCTTTCCTGGCCTGTTTCGGCAACCAAAATCACACAAATGATGTATTAGAATAAGTTTTTCATCTATAATGTATTAAATCCTACCTTACACACGCCAAACACTTGATAATTGAAGAAGTATAAGTATTTTTCTGAAAACAAATTTTTTCCCAACGTGTAGATGCATTCTGGGTGATGATCGTGTAAAAATAAAAGTCTAGGTGAAACGAAATTACAATAAACTACGGCAGCCATATTGAGATCAAGATTTCCACTCGAAAAAGTTGTACAGGGGGAGGAAGGCGGCTTCTGGCGATTGAATCTCCAGTCCTGTCCGAACACCAAGGAGGGTGAAGAAACCGAAAACACTAAACAGATATTTTTGTAATAAATAATTACGATTTTGTTTTGGTTGCATGGTTTCACATTTAGACTGTATTCAGTGACCCTGAGTGACCTTGAGAGCCATATTGGAAATTGGTTCGAACATATACGAAAATGATTACATTTCTTCATTTATCAAGTGTTTCCTGTGTTTAAGGTAAGATTTAATACATTCTAGTTGAAGCATTGGATCCATTATCTTATCTGTGTAACTTTTGTTGGGCATAGAGGGCAGAAAAGCATTTACCGCAATATACTGGGCTTAATATCCTCGACGCAAATGTTGAAAACAAAAATAAAAAACAAATATCCAAATCGTCAAAAAGAAACGTGAAACAACAACATTAAGTCGAGTTCACTTGACTAGGAAGTATGCTCCCCTGTGAATTTTTTTTTCAAGGACGTTATTTGATGGAATCTAAGCGTTTTTATCAACTTAAATGTTGACAATGTTAAAAATACAGATACGGTAGGAAGCATAAATAAATTCGCAAATAAATTAATGCATTTTAACACATTTTTAATTTTTTTCAAATTCATTTGGTACGCCTGTGCGTATTTTGCGTAATAGGCGCTACGCCGGAAAAAATTGTTTTGATAAAATGTATAAAAAACATTTTTTTCATTTTACAAAACAAATCTTCTTACCAGTCTTTTCTAGGCACATAAGTACACTCTTTGTGCAAAACTGGAAGATGTTGACAATGTGGGGAAGGAGTGATTCCTGTTTGAAAAATAACATGTGACTTAATTGAGGATTGCAGCAAATTCCGAACATGCACCCTGGCCTTAATATTTATCAATACATTAATTTATTTGTGATTACCTTAAAGTTATTTTGTTCCTTCAACAGTCTGTGGTGGCAGTAAATCAACATTCTACTAGACTTCAAAAATTTTGAATTAAGATTGCAGCCATGTTTAGGTCTTGCGAGATCTCGTGACTTTCGAAAGTAAACATTTACTACAAAATAACTCGCATAAGCTATATAAATATGAATTCTGAAAGATGATATTGTAGTTTTAGGATATCAACAACATATTCATGGGAGGTTAAATCTAAGAAATTTACAAAGTTGTAAATGAAATGATATAGTGGGTATTATTTTCTTTGTTCTAGGTCATAGAGCTTGACCTTGATCAGCTACCTGAAGGGGAAGAGGTCCTTGGCATCTTGAAACAAGAGACTGCACCATTACACATATGGGTCACACTCGCTGTAAGTTAACTTTATTGCACATTAAGGTTCAACTGGAAAGTAACATTGCACATATGGGTCACACTCGCTGTAAGTTAACTTTATTGTACATTAAGGTTCAACTGGAAAGTAACATTGCACATATGGGTTACACTCGCTGTAAGTTTGCTTTATTGTACATTAAGGTTCAACTGGAAAGTAACATTACACATATGGGTCACACTTGCTGTAAGTTAACTTTATTGTATATTAAGGTTCAACTGGAAAGTAACATTACACATATGGGTCACACTCGCTGTAAGTTAACTTTATTGTACATTAAGGTTCAACTGGAAAGTAACATTACACATATGGGTCACACTCACTGTAAATTAACTTTATTGTACATTAAGGTTCAACTGGAAAGTAACATTGCACATATGGGTCACACTTGCTGTAAGTTAACTTTATTGTATATTAAGGTTCAACTGGAAAGTAACATTACACATATGGGTCACACTTGCTGTAAGTTAACTTTGTTGTACATTAAGGTTCAACTAGAAAGTAACATTGCACATATGGGTCACACAACTCGCTGTAAGTTAACTTTATTGTACATTAAGGTTCAACTGGAAAGTAACATTGCACATATGGGTCACACTCGCTGTAAGTTAACTTAATTGTACATTAAGGTTCAACTGGAAAGTAACATTACACATATGGGTCACACTCGCTGTAAGTTAACTTTATTGCACATTAAGGTTCAACTGAAAAGTAACATTACACATATGGGTCACACTTGCTGTAAGTTAACTTTGTTGTACATTAAGGTTCAACTGGAAAGTATCATTACACATATGGGTCACACTTGCTGTAAGTTAACTTTATTGTACAGGGTGTCAAATAAGTCTGTTCTCCCCCCTTAACTTTTTTATCTTTGGATTTATCATACTTTCCCATATATCATTTTGAAGGTTATGGAAAATGCTGATCACCCTCAAAAAATCAATCATAAACGCCTCCTAATAAAATTGCTACAATGTTTCTTCTCAGGTTGTAGTTGACCTTTAATTACATCGAAACAAGTAAAATTACCAGGTAATAGTGATTGAAAATTGAAAATGATACTGCAGTGACAATGCCAACATTGGGTGATTTCGATGTTTCTCAATATCGTTACAGAGTAAAATGTGTTGCATTCAGGGGAGCTTTTGAAGCAGGGGCATCTTTCATCACAAAATAGTTGATAACAGCCATAACATATGGACATAACTAAAAATACTCTAAAAAATTGGAATTTAACCAATCACTCTGAAATTTGGTGTGTGATCAGCAAATTGAATTCCCTTTAAGATGGTATATACCAACCCTATGTTATTTCTGAATTAAAAAAGTTAAGGGGGGAGAACAGACTTATTTGACGCCCTGTACATTAAGGTTCAACTGGAAAGTAACATTACACATATGGGTCACACTCGCTGTAAGTTAACTTTATTGTATATTAAGGTTCAACTGGAAAGTAACATTACACATATGGGTCACACTCGCTGTAAGTTAACTTTATTGTACATTAAGGTTCAACTGGAAAGTAACATTGCACATATGAGTCACACGACTCGCTGTAAGTTAACTTTATTGTACATTAAGGTTCAACTGGAAGTGGAAAGTAACATTACACATATGAGTCACACTCGCTGTAAGTTTACTTTATTGTACATTAAGGTTCAACTGGAAAGTAACATTACACATATGGGTTACACGATTCGCTGTAAGTTAACTTTATTGTACATTAAGGTTCAACTGGAAAGTAACATTACACATATGGGTCACACTCGTTGTAAGTTTACTTTATTGTACACTAAAGTTCAACTGGAAAGTAACATTACACATATGGGTCACACGATTCGCTGTAAGTTAACTTTATTGTACATTAAGGTTCAACTGGAAAGTAACATTACACATATGGGTCACACTTGCTGTAAGTTAACTTTATTGTACATTAAGGTTCAACTGGAAAGTAACATTACACATATGGGTCACACTTGCTGTAAGTTTACTTTATTGTACATTAAGGTTCAACTGGAAAGTAACATTACACATATGGGTCACACTTGCTGTAAGTTAACTTTATTGTACATTAAGGTTCAACAGGAAAGTAACATTGCACATATGGGTCACACTCGCTGTAAGTTAACTTTATTGTACATTAAGGTTCAACTGGAAAGTAACATTGCACATATGGGTCACACTCGCTGTAAGTTTACTTTATTGTATATTAAGGTTCAACTGGAAAGTAACATTACACATATGGGTCACACTTGCTGTAAGTTAACTTTATTGTACATTAAGGTTCAACTGGAAAGTAACATTACACATATGGGTCACACTCGCTGTAAGTTAACTTTATTGTACATTAAGGTTCAAGTGGAAGTGGAAAGTAACATTACACATATGAGTCACACTCGCTGTAAGTTTACTTTATTGTACATTAAGGTTCAAGTAGAAGTGGAAAGTAACATTACACATATGAGTCACACTCGCTGTAAGTTTACTTTATTGTACATTAAGGTTCAACTGGAAAGTAACATTACACATATGGGTCACACTTGCTGTAAGTTAACTTTATTGTACATTAAGTTTAAACTGGAAAGTAACATTGCACATATGGGTCACATTGCTGTAAGTTAACTTTATTGTACATTAAGGAAACTTGTTTGATGTATCAGTTCATTGTTGACTCTTTATTGTACATAAAACATGTGTGACACGCCAGTAGTTATCAAATACCATTCATTATTGTAATTCATGACTTATTAACAACAAAATGAACTATATGTAAAAATTCCAAAAGTCTACAAAGCCATGTACATTTCTATTAGAGCTGTTCCTTTTTCATGTATAGTATTACATACCCAGCGAAGCATTTGTATTGAAGTCAGTGGAGCTGAAGGTCGGCTATATATTCCTGTATAGCCGCCAAACCTTTTACCATGACAATCTTATGACGTCATCGGGACGTCATGTTTCATTTCTTCCTAATTTCACTCGCACACAGACACGTGGCGTCATTGATATAACGTAGCCATGATATAAAAGTATGTAATATAACAGTTATGTCCGTATCATTGAATATATGCCTTCGGTCTGTCATAATACAACCCTCGCAAGCTCGGGCTATATTGGTGACAGACCTTAGGCATATATTCAATGATAGGGACATAACTGCTAATTATTGACCATTAGTTAATCTGACGAAACATTTAATTTTTCATCGCACTTTGAAAAAGTGCCATATTGTCGTTATCTTGTGCTGCTGGTTGGGTAGGTACTAGAAGGTGGCGTCAAAAATATCTTGTCATCAAAATGTGCCCTTAGATCTAATTAGGTTTTGAGCATGCTGCGTAAATTACATGTACGCCATTTTGCTCTTCAAAGTGCAATATTCATCACTGTATGTCTTGTTTCGATTTCAGCTTGAATATTACAAACAAGGCTTCACAGATGACTTCGCTAAGATCCTCGAGGCCTCAAGGTCAGAGTCGGAAATCTCGTACCAGGGATCGGAAAAAGATCAGATGCGAGCTATCGACACTCTGGCAGCGTACTATGTACAATGGGCCCATAGAGAGAAGAATAAAGACAAAAAGAGGGACTTGTACACACAGGCCACTCAGCTCTATACCACAGCTGATAAGATCATCATGTACGACCAGGTAATGCAACACTAATTTATTCTCTTTATTTGAATTAACTGTCATATATGCAGGCCCGTAGCCAGGGGGGTCGCAGGGTTCGGACGAACCCCCCCTGGCCAAAAATTCTTTCAAAATCATGCAGTTTTTCACCATTTTGAGCACTTCTCAAGTGATTTTAGCCATATTTGGGCCAAAATTGTCAAATGTGAACCCCCCCTTGAAATTTTTGAAAAATGAACCCCCCCTTGGCAAATCCTGGCTACGGGCCTGTATATGTAAAACATTTTGAAGTTTTGGCAGACTGTAGTTAAGAATAACCGGTCGAAGTAGAAAAGTAAAACACCTGCAAAGTCCCATAATTTGTTGAGTCCTATGAGTTACATTTCCAATTTTAGAATTTGATTAACTGTAGAAGTTTCACAACATAAAATGTTTAGTTATATGCATTTTTCAATTTTGTATCATGTTTATATTGTTGAATGTTATTTCAGAATCATTTACTTGGTCGTGCCTACTTCTGCCTCCTGGAAGGAGATAAGATGGACCAGGCAGATGCCCAGTTCAACTTTGTCTTGAATCAGGTAATGAAAAAAACATGTCTTTATCCTCTATGCTTTGTCCCCTCTCATTGATTACTAGCCTGTGTTGGAGCAGGAGTCCATGAATATCAGTCCATTTGAACGATCATGTCAGTAACATTCATTTCATGACATAATAATTATACTGTCTGTATTTCTCATGTTGCCTATTTCATCAAACCAGAGGGAGATATAGTCTTTATAAAGTAAATGGAGGACTTCAGTATGTTTAAAAATGAAGTGTTGGTTGAAATTGTATAAAGTTGATACTTAAAGTTAAACTTAAACTGCCACTAGACCTGAGTTTATATGAACTGTGGCAACATTCTCTTTCCATATTTAATTTCATAATGTGTAAGATTCTAAAAATGTTGTTTAACGTAAATGTTATGTTATATAAAAGTAACTGACCATGCATACATTTTCTATTTAAATCTATATTTTTGTTTATTATAGACAAGCAGTAGTATACCTGCTTTGTTGGGTAAAGCCTGTATTGCGTTCAACAAGAAAGACTACAGAGGGGCACTTGCATACTATAAGAAAGCATTGAGAACCAACCCCAAGTGTCCGGCTAATGTTCGTCTAGGGATGGGACATTGTTTTGTCAAGCTTGGAAAACCAGAAAAAGCAAGGTATGTCTTAGCCTGTATCAAATATGGTTGAATACTTGATAAGAGGAACTCTGCATCTTCCACTCGAAGTGGTGACATATTGTTATAGTCTCCAATTTTTATGGATCGTGTTCAGCAGTTGGTGTTTGGCGGTTGGCATCTGTAACGAATTGCAGGTCACATTTTGCATGTTAATGACTTGTACTTTCCTTTCTATTGTGAAGCTTTTGCCATCTATGCCTGATATACTAGCAAAAAGCTCCCCTAGGTAGTGTTAAACTAATGCTGTACCTGTATACATATTGTTCCAGGCTAGCATTTGAGCGAGCCCTAACCTTGGATCCCCAGTGTGTCGGAGCTCTGGTTGGGATGTCAATCCTTGAACTGAATGAGAAGAACCCTGAGAGTATTAAGAATGGTGTCCAACTACTGTCCAAAGCATATACGATAGACTCTGGCAACCCTATGGTGTTAAACCATCTTGCTAATCATTTCTTCTATAAGAAGGTAAGACAATGTAGGCTTAAACATCAGGTCTGCATCCTCATAAACTCACCTTCCATGTAAGCTCTCTTGCCTCTTAAACTCTCCTTCCTCATATACTCTCTTTCCTTATAGGTTTCCTTCCTCCTATTATGATATAAAGCCCTCTTCCTTCATAAAGTCTTCTTGCTCATAAACCTCTTTCCTCATAAATTCTCCTTCTTAACAATAATGTTTTAGGGGATTGTAAGGATTTAAGTACAAGTGCAAAAAGGGAAGATCAATACAAAGAGTATGATAAAACACAGTTAGAAAAAACTAAGAGCACAATGTGTGGAGAAGGCTAGCCAATTTTAAAGTTAGATTTTATACACTTTTCTAAAGAGGGCTTTTTACAGGCACTTAATTAATATATGACTTTACATACTAGCCCATGCCTAAAATCCAAAATCTGGAAAAACCTTCAGTTATATAATTTCTGTTGGAATGTTTTAGGATTATCAAAAAGTGCAGCATTTGGCGCTACATGCCTTTCATAATACAGAGAATGAAGGAATGAGAGCAGAGAGTTGTTATCAGCTTGCTCGGGCGTTCCATGTCCAGGAGGATTACGACCAAGCTTTCCAGTATTATTACCAAGCCACTCAATTTGCCTCTTCCAACTTTATCCTTCCTCATTTTGGACTGGGGCAGATGTATGTGCACAGAGGTGATACAGAAAATGTAAGTTTAGACAAATTCAATTTAATTATCTGATTTTTTTTCAAATTTGCAAATAGTAATATGTACATATAAAGAAAGAACTGTACGTCCTCTATAACATCCCCCTGCCTCATGTTGGCCTTATGTACACAAATGTGATACAATCTCAGACTTGTCAATTCATTTACCAACAATTTTCCAATCTCCCAATTTAGAGAATATGCGCTCGTCACATGTTTGGAGGAATGAGTTTTGTTAGACCTGCATTTGGAGGATGTATTTCTGAAGCTTTGCACCTTATTTTATTGTTCACCATTTGCCAAGAAATAAATAAAATTCTGGTTGAAAATTCAGTCTTCAGGTTAAAATCACCACATCTTAGACCAACTCAAAGTGTTCTTATAAACTGGTGTTCATATCTAGAACATAAAATAACAAAGGACTTGATAAGATCACCAGGCCATGTTCTCATTGGTGATTTTTGCTACATTTATTAATTTACAAAACCATCATTACATTACATTACCATCATTGTTTGTAATTGTTCAATTGTTTTATTACAGGCATCTATGTGTTTTGAGAAAGTGATTAAAGCTCAACCCAACAATTATGAGACCATGAAGATATTAGGCTCGCTGTACTCCAACTCCCCTGACTTGGCCAAGAGAGAAATTGCAAAGGTATGTAGATATTTGAATATACAAATAAGTTTACAAATCAACATCAGTTTAACTATTTTATTTAAATGTACAGTAGAACCTGTGTTGGTTGAACACTTATGGGGTCACAAAAATGTGTTGACTGCATGTTGGGAATTTTATACAGAAGTCTGTGGAATCTGTGCTGAGAAGGGGTGTTCATCAGATATTGGTGTTCACTGAAGAGGTGTTCACTAAAACATGTTTAACTGTACTGTACTCATAAACAGTAATTATCTATCAGTTTCCAATTTCTGTATAGTCACTAGGCACCTGTTGACACCTGTTGTTACACTAAAACTATGATTTTTGTATTTTCTGAGTTTTCCATGTATTTTATGAAGTTAAGATCTCCTTCCTTGGTACTTACAAGTAGGTCACCATTGTGATCAATTGTAACCACATTGGGTGACTTAACATTGTCTTCTGGAGTCAGGAGGTATTTAATAAACTTCCCTGTTGGATCCAACTTGTGGACCCTGTTGTTACCACAGTCAGCTATAATGATGTTATCAAGTGAGTCTGTACAGATCCCTTGTGGGCTGTCGAGTTCATTATCACCACATCCCATTGTGCCATAGCTAAATGCAAGCTCACCATATTTGCTGAATCCTTTGACGCTGTTGAGATCGAGATCAGATATGATCACCACGTCTTTGCTATTTGTTGTTACAAAACATGGATCTTGTATTATATCCGTACCAATCGTTGCTAGGATGGATCCATCTTTGTAGTCAATAATATACACACATTTTGCACCTCGATCAATGACCACAAGCTCTCCTGCAGAGTTCATGCATACGTCCCATGGATCTTGAAATTTACCAATGTTTTTCAATAGTCCAAACGCTTGATTGTAAATAGCTACATAGTCTTGTTTAGAGTCGATGACCGCATAGCAATCATCTTTCAGAGTACACACTCTATCATTATCATGAAAAAATCTTGTGAATGTTTTTATTAATGTTTTCCCGTCATTTTTATATAATGCTAATATACATTCTTCACCAAAGGAGCTTTCTAGCACTAAAATATTTTTATTATTGTTTGTTATACATATGTCTCTTATTGCAGTATATGAACTCTTTTTGTCAACTAAATGTACGGTTTTGTATATTTTAGGTGAATGTGGTATTTTGTTTTGTAAAGATGGCACTGATAGCACCCTCACTTGCGGTTTATTGTAGCGTAAGATCGATTCTTGAGAGGTATCCAAGTACCCTGGTTCAAATATGCTCGTGTTATGAGGTTCAAAGTCATCTTCTAAATTCGAGGAACTCCAATCATGAAGTGTTTGTTTTATCTCCGTACTTGAGTTTACAATCTCAACTGGATGCCCATACTTTTTCAAGGAGGTCAGGTTCAGTAATGTAGATTCAGTGACGCTCTTTTTACATTCTATAGTATATCTTTGAGATTCTATCTGATTTATGGTTTTGTTGTGCAAACTAAACACAGCCTTTTCCAGTTTCTGAAACCAAAGAGCTATCTCAATTCTGATAGCATGATGGTCAGATCTCATACTCATTAAAAGTTTTTGAAATTTTTCTTTCTCAGTTGCGATAACATCAGTTGAAGATTTAATCTGTTGGTCGAGAAATTCTTTTTGTGTGAAGCCCAGCTTGATTGTTGCAGAGATATTTTGCATCTCAGTGTTAGCAACTTGTTCAATTTTCACGCATTGGTGTCCAGAATGTCTGGCTATACAACATTCTCTACAAACAGGAATCTTGTCTGCCTTACAGTATAACTGAAGAGACTGGTCAGGATGCTTTGGGCAATCAATATTCCTTTTAGAGAGGCCTTCTATTATAATGCTCAGATCATTTTCAGGATTTCCAGTCAGTTCAACGAGCTCATGCGATTTTGTGGATTTAATTCTGCGGTGGTATTTTTCGCATATTTTGCATAGGTTTTCAGCACATTCAATACATCTGACTACAGCATGTTCTTGTTGGTCTTCTTCCATACAGCTATCACAGTCAATCTCCTTCTGTATACGTTTTTTGGTTCTCTCAACTGTATCAACTATTGAATTCATGGGTGAGTTTGTTAAACTGTGATATAAACAGGCGCCTTCAACAGGAATATCCGTTTCAGTTCGTGGATTTGTCCCTTTCTTGTAATCCATTTGAGACATGGATCTTCACATTAAGTTTATACTGTATGTTCTACTGTATGACATAATACAGTATAAGTTGTTCAAAACTGTATATTCCTCATGTTAGAAATAGTTGCGTCATATTGGTTATGGCTTTTTTATTTAACCTGTTTTAATTTTTAAGAACTTAAGATTAGATTGTTGGAATGACTCATTTATAAGCCCCCTTGCCCCTTTACTTAATATCTTATCAGAGCTATACTTCAGGTTATGTAGAGGTATAATAAATTATTTGATAAATTGATTCTTGGTTGCTTTTTAACACAAAGCAAACAATTTGCATATTAAAAACAAACTTATCATATTTGTACTTTAAAAGTTAAAATTTAAGATAGAAAAAAGTTTAAATGGGTATCGTTTCAACTATATGGACAATCCATACATGTTATAAATATTTGGGAGTGTGACACCTAGTTGATAATACGAGGGACTACAGAACCCAGTTGTCAATTTGAGCGGATGCAGTTTTCACATGCCAATATGAGGGGCACTCAGTTTTTAATAGAGTTGTTAAATAAAGTCTTTAAATATTTGACTACAGTGATTATTGATTTTCTTGTAGGGTCACATGAAGAAAGTTACAGAGCAGTTCCCCGATGACGTAGAAGCATGGATAGAGCTAGCTCAGATATTGGAGCAGTCTGATATACAGGGGGCACTAGGGGCATATGGTACGGCAACACGCATCCTCAAAGATAAGGTACACGCAGATGTTCCGCCAGAGATTCTCAATAATGTGGCAGCTTTACACTTCAGGATGGGCAACTTTAAAGAAGCGAAGGTATGTGTTGTTTTCTTTAATGTGAATATTATGTCCAATGATACTTTGATCGTGCTGTGGAAAGCCAAATACAAAAGCCGCTCAGTTGAATACATGATGAAATTTTACTCTTTTCTTTGGAACCCTCATTGAAATCATATTACTATCACTGAGATTGCACATGTAGCAGGGAAAGTACTTATCATTTATGGCGCCTAAGAAAGTGAATATGTTTGTTTCTTGCAAATGTATTTTTAAGGCGGGGGTGGAGTCCACTGTTTGTTTAAGTAAAAACATTCAAATTAACATGGATGACATAAATAGTCCTGTATGAAACGAGTCGATGACCTAATACGTTAGTGAGTCAACACAATTAAGAGTAGAATCGTCCATTTAATTAGAGTCCATTAGCTAACAAAGGGAGGCAGATGGGATCTATTCTTCATTATATGGCTTTTTCAATAGAAATCACATCACCCATTGCCATGTATACACATTGCACAAGTTCTTTTCATTTTAAGAAATATTACGAGCAGTCATTAGAGAGAGCACGCAACGAGGCAGACCATGACGAGACCTACTACAGTGCCATCTCAGTGACGATGACGTACAATCTAGGACGTCTTTACGAGGCCCTCAATGAGTATGACAAGGCAGAGAAGCTCTACAAGAATATACTCAGAGAACATCCCAATTATGTCGACTGTAAGTTTATCTTTATTTATTTTTACTTAACACAGTCTCAGGGTATGATAAAAGAGTTCAGACCAAATGGCTCAAATTGAATTTCAAACTGGTTGCAATTTAATTTTGTCACCACCACAATTGTTACAGTCTCCAAATTTCGGCTGTGTTTGGTGGGCAATGTTTGGCATCTGTAACAAATGGCAGGTAGTGACATTTTGCATGTCAATACATTGTTTTCTAAACTGTGTATGCCAAAATATCAGCTTAAGTGGTCCAGATTTAAAGTTAATCTTGGTTAGCCCTTATGTCAGACCCTGCAGTCTTTTGTGTAGTTGGTTTATTCATCCATTTGTGTCTGGAAGATTGTATACTTATGCTTCATTTATCTTGTAACATACAGGATTAAATATGACTGGTATAGGTCTAAAAGGACAGCTATGTGTCAATGCAAACCTTTTATGTTTTATTTATTGATTTGATAGTCTGTATTGGAATTTCTTTAACATTATGGGTCAACTTGTTCAACCTATGGTTGAAAGCTTGTAGTCCAAGGAGTTGGGACTTTGGAAAACAATATTTGGACTCGGGTATATGGGTTGGGGATAAAAAAAATTCAATTTATTCCTAATGAATCTAGGAAAGTTGTAACATTTTTTTATGTACATTTATTTACAACTACATGTATTTACATACAAATATAAAACATTGTCACCGAGTCCTTTCTAAATTAACATGCTAAAGTAAAAATAAAAGTAAAAGTCTTCTCCAAAAATTGATTCAGTGTACAGTGAGGTTTTGAAAAAATCATGATGACAATAAAGCATGATGGCATGATGGCGTTACTGCACTGTCCTACTACTTCAAATCTGTTTCGTTCTCAATAGCTTCATCATCAGGGTATGTCCTTCCCTTGACATGGAATTTGTCTGATTCACTGTCCTGCGGTTGTTTAATTATGGGAGTAGTTTTTGTGTCAATTTCTTTGAGTTCAAATATAGCTGTATTGTTCATTGGTTGGTCCTGATTATTTACATGTTTGTAGGCTTTGCCTCGTTTCCTCTTGGAGCACCTCTTGTATCTAGCAATCAGAATTATGATTAGTGTCAGTATAATGGCAGACAGTACTGCAATGATAATGTACAGCTTTGTGAATCCTGAATGGCTTGAATCAGTATTTAGTTTTCCAACAGCTGGCTGAAAGGTAGTGTCAATTTCTAGCGTACTAGTCGTCGGGAGGCCTTTATGATCACTTGGTTGTATAGGTTTGGATACCTGGCGACATTCAAGATAGTCTGAAAACACACAAGTCGCATTATTTTGGGATTCATACTACATAGATTCATAAGAATCAAATACATTTATATTAAATGCAGCATTTACCTTATCCACCAACCTGACAGTTTTGAACAGGTAGATTTTGAATATGACTGGAAGATTTTGAAAAAAACTACCTAACTTAATCTTCTGTCATAGTACCCCAGTGTGAGGTAAAATTTTACAATTAAACGAAAACTAATCATCACTGATTTCACTGATTAAATGGTGAAATGGAGGATTGAATTTCAAGTTTGAGATTCAGAATTCACATATCACTTACATCTGACCCGTGACACCTTTACTGCTTAGATAATATAGGAATATCCTATGGCTTTGAAAAAATATCACTTATATCCATGAGTGAAGATACTGATATCCATGAGTGGATATAAGTGATATTTTTGAAAAACCATAGGATTGTCCGTTTATCCCATTGGGAATTATTATCCAGCGAACATTGAATAGTCAGATAAATTGCAATGGAAATTCCATTTCGTCTGACATTTTGATTGCGATAATTCAACGAACGTCATATACGTGACGTAACAGAGTGGTTTGTATTTAATGCGAACGCCGTACAAACAAGATCCAAAAAAATAAAAAATATATAAACAATCGTTTTGCTGAATTAATAAAAAATTGAAAAAATCAAAACCATCGAATATCACTTTTGAAACCATCGAATATCACTTTTGAAACCATCGAATATCACCTTTCAAAAAGTGATATTCGATGGTTTCAAAAGTGATATTCGATGATTTGGGAATTGTTTGCTAAAATATGATATCTTCATCCATGTATCAATTATATCTTCACATGATATTCGATCTATATCCTTGTAACCATGGGATAATGATATTTACCTGAACACAAGGTTCTCACATCGCCAATTTCCGGGTCGTCTTTGCATACTTTGTGGATAATGTTTTCATCTCTTTCCTCAGAAGGGACACAAAGGGCAGCGCATTTGTTGGTAAATTTCCGTCCGTCAACTGTACGTATGACTTTAACATCATACCTAGCACAAGGGTCAGGGGCAGCTAGTCCTTCTCTAAGTGAAAGGGCCAACACCCCAAAGATTTTGAAAAATATCTGAAAAAAATTAAATACATGTACTTATTTTTTATCTGAAAATGTTTTGTATTTTTTTCTCAGAATTGAAATCAGTTTAACATTGTTCGAAAGATGTTTACTCACATGCATTCCTTTTCGCTTGACTAATGACTAAAACATCTGAGAGACAATAAAAGATATAGTATAGTACAAAAGGTCAGGTAGTTTCTAATGAGAGTGAAACTACTGGTTTCAGTTGAAACTTTTCACTATTCAGATCTGAAGATTTTGCATACTTAATTATCCTATTGAACAAAGTTCAAAGGGGATATAGAGAATGGCTTGGTCCATCCATTCCTTAGCCAATTTTATGTGTTTTTTACATTGTTGCTATAATTTTAAAGTTGTGGAGCAATTTTGTTCAAATTATATTAAAACATAGTACACTTTCCAATGACACTTTAGCTAGAAAGCAGCTATTTTGAAAAATGTATGCCCTTTCAATGTGCGTTATTTCACATTTTTTTGCTATGACTAAAAACCTAATGCTACGATTTTTGTTGAAATTTTATGTATGAATACTAAAAGGAATGTTACACCTTTTAATGACAATTTGGCAAATTGATGGGCATTTCCAAAAAGAGTAGCTATGGCCATTTGATTAGCTACACCTTAGCATTGCTGTTATCTAGTTTCATATGAGACAACCATGTCAAAATGTCACTCTCTGTCAAAACCAAACATATTGCTTGTGTCCCCAGACTACATTTAAAAATGTACTATAGTTTACAAACTCCATCATTTTCCAACGATAAATCAATTTAAAAATCAAAAATTTTGTTCTATACAAAATAAGTCAACATTTTAATTAGAGACAAAATCATTTATTTTGACCCACTGACTCAGAGTTTTAGTATTGTTCTTAGGAGAGAATAAGCATGTATACTATAGTAGTTTTGGTTTCAGTTTCGGATATCTATGATATAGATTTTTGATACCTTGTCTCTTTATATGGCTAATACGAATTTAGTGAGATAAGATATGTATACTGTACAGCTCTCCCCCAAATCTAATTGACCTCATATGACTTCCCTATCCACCCCATTCTCACATCCGTGTTTCTACTCTTTGGTTTTTGATACAGTATAAACACCTCAAGCAATTTAAGTTAATGTCTAGAAGCTACCTTTCTTTTTGTTTATACTTGCTACTGATATGTTGTATCACATGACCTCTTCTTGTAGTCTTCATTACGCAACTGAATTTCCAGATTGGTATTCTTATGATCCCTGATCATGTTTCTTGGTTTCGTTTTAGTTTCATATTAGTTTCATATTAGTTTCATACTGGTACAATATATGAAATGAAATACTTCTAATCAAGTAAACAAACACACACCCAGAGAGGTGGCGTATAGAACTTCTCTCGTGTTCCATTGCTTTGGTACCATTTGTATCTTTCATCATATGTAATTTATGATTTTAACATACTAATTAAATGTGTTGAATATATCTAAATGATAGAGAAACTGTTCGTTTATATTTATAAGTGTACATTTAAATTGTGTATGTATGACGGTGCCTGTGTGATATCAAAGTCCTGTATATTAAACTGTTTACTTAACCTGTTATTTGAAGTCTATGTGCATTCTTATCACTCGACATTTTATATTTATTCTACTGTAGGTGAGAAAAGTTGTTGATATCACTCACTCTGCTGTTCTCTCAAAAAACACATTAAAATACTGATCATTGAAAGCAGTTATTTGGTACCCCATTTAATTTATATAGCACCAGGCTACTACACTGACTTTTGCAGTGTCTAAAACTTGGTCCCGAGCTGACTTTGGCCCATTGTGCAATAGAAATGATTATTCAGCCAGCGCCAACCATGACCACATGTGAATAAATGACATGTTATTGAAAAAAGAAACATGGCTTCATTAAACATTGAATGAAAGCAATGCAGTCATCACTGCTTTTGTGGTTCTGCCATTTATTTGTTTGTTGTGGTTTTTTGATTGGCATATGTATTTATTTGTAGGTTACCTAAGGCTTGGGTGTATGGCCAGGGATCGTGGTCAGATTTATGAGGCTTCTGATTGGTTCAAAGAAGTGTTACAGATTAACCAAGTAAGTGTTACCTTTTTGAGTTGAAATATTACTTTACATTTATATTTTTTCTACCCTTTATGGACCATATCAATGCATCGGTTTTGTCTCAAAATAGAATTTTACAGTTATATGTAAAATTGATTTTTCTAACCTCTCTCAATACATCTATTGATTTTTAACTTTAGAGCTGCTTAAGAATTTATGTATACTTTCAAAATGTAATAGACTTCTTTTGTTGATGTACGTCAAGCTTTGTACACCTTGTACATCAAGCTTTTAATATTTTGTTTCATTAAGGACCACCCTGATGCCTGGTCATTGATTGGAAACTTGCATCTTGCAAAGCACGAGTGGGGGCCTGGCCAGAAAAAGTTTGAACGCATCTTGCAGCAACCAAAGACTAAGGACGATGCCTATTCTATGATCGCATTGGGAAATGTCTGGCTACAGACACTTCATCAGCCAATGAGAGATAAAGACAAGGTGAAATAGTTTTTCAACAAAGATGGAAAAATATTTTTCTATTTACATTACATTTCAAATATAAAAAAGTATTATAGTTATTAAGTTCTAAATATCAGTGGAACATTTTGCAGGATGAAAAGTGTTTAATGTTCATCAGTCAAACTTCACAATTCTGAAACGCTGAGAAGGTGTTGATTCATATATGGCTATTTTAAGATTGCCTCCATAGAAATATCTGTTTGTAAGGCCAAATTCTCATTCTGTTTCAGGAAAAGCGCCATCAAGATCGAGCCCTAGCCATGTATAAACAGGTCCTTCGTAAAGACCCCAGAAACATCTGGGCGGCAAATGGCATCGGCTGCGTCCTCGCCCACAAGAACTGTATCAATGAGGCACGTGATGTCTTCGCACAGGTGCGTGAAGTGACGGCAGATTTCTGTGACGTTTGGCTGAATATTGCGCATATCTACGTAGAACAGAGACAATTTGTAGCTGCAGTACAGATGGTAAGTGAGAAGATTTTCAAAAGTGTTGTTTTGTCATCATCTTGTGGTGATGAGTGTGCACCTATTTGTGTGTGCTGCGTCTGTGTGGGTTGGCGCCACTCAAATCTTTTCATCAAAATCCCCAAAAAACTGTTAACCAGGGGGTCATTAACAGAAAATTCGTAAATCAATTGTTGTTACCATGGATATAATGACTTCACAGTTAGAGAACAATGGGTTTTGCGAATTCTTTATGAAGCTTCTGTTAATGGCCCCCTGGTCAACTTGAAATTTTTACAGAAACAAAATCAAACTATTTCCAAGATCTGATAAGATCTTGGGCATGTTGGGTAAATTATATGCATCCATTTTCCTCTTCAAAGTGAGATATGACTGTGTCTTGTTTAAATAAGTTCTGGCACTGTGTCTTGAATTCACTTTGTTAATTGAGTCAAATTATCATGTTGGCAAGAAAAACATGGTTTTACAGTATCATAAGTTATGATGAAACAATAGAACCATATTTTTCCTAAATGAATGGCTGTAACCATATAATGACATCATAGTAAGAGTTAATGGTTTTACTTCCTGGATGAACGTTTCTTTTAATGACCCCTTGGACAGTACCCTTATTAATACCATACAATGCTCATCTCTTACAGTATGAGAATTGTCTGAAGAAGTTCTTCAAGTTCCACAACACTGAGGTGATGATGTACTTAGCCAGGGCCTATTATAAATGTGGCAAGTTGAAGGAATGCAAGCAGACTCTTATGAAGGTATGTACATTTTTCATATACAAAGGATGTGCCAAAAAGATTTCAGAGCTATCACTAAATTAAAGACCAGTTTTTGTGTTATTTTCCATTGTATGCAGATTAATATTATCTGAATATAGTATATGAATTACTGGAAATTAAACAGGGCACTTTGCTTAATAATGTTACATCCTGCATGTTCTGTGTTAAATAGAAAAATAATAAAATAATTTTTAGACTCGCAACAAGCCACCTCCATCACCATTCCCATTCCTCATCGATCCTCTTACACACAAGAACTGGCCGGAAAAATTCAGTGGATAGTTTTTTGAATAACCAGAGAATTGCATTTCTTCAGGGATTGCATGCTTTAAGATGAAATAACAAGGATCTGAATCGAGTAATTTTTACTCTAAATGAAGTGAAATACGCTCATGGGAGCATTTTAGATAAAGGTGATTGTTTCTGACAAACAAAAAGCCTACCCTTAGTTCTATTTTATATTCTAGGCTCGTCACGTGTCTCCTGCGGATACTGTACTGTTGTATAACTTCTCCTTGGTGATGCAGAAACTAGCGACATCTATACTTAAGGATGAAAAGAGCAACTTGAAGACTGTGTTGTCAGCTGTACATGATCTGGAGCTGGCTCATAGGTAAAGAAAATAAAAATCTCATGTTTGTTACATTTTAAGCTGATCTTTATATACAGAATATCAGATTATTTTGAGTAATATCATTTTATCGATGAGTTGATATCAAATATCAACTTAAGTGAGTGAAATGAATCAGTGTTGATAATTGATATCGTCCAGATAATAAAATATCATTAGAAATGATCTGACATTGGGTCTGTCCCATAATTACAATCAAAAAATTTAAAAAATAAATCAAATGAAATGTGGCTGATAAACAATATCAGCTGCCTTGAGATAAATTGCATATCCTACCCCTTATATGTACATTTGATAATCTCTATATTTCAGATATTTCACCTACCTGAGTCAAAATGGAGATCGTATGAAGTTTGACCTGAATCAAGCATCTATTGAAGCCAGGTATGGATGCTACTGTAAAGAATATTAGAATATACTTTTGCTTCAATTAACGCTTTAAAATGACATATACTATGAAATATGGTAAAAAGGTGAGAGTTGAAATAAAACAAACAATGTAACAATGTCCAGCCAAGGAGGTTCACTTTTCAAAAGATTCAAGGGGTGTTCCCATTTAATAACTATGGCCTAAAATCACCTTAAAAGTGCTCAGAATTGTACAAAACTGCATGGTTTTGAAAGAATTTTTGTGAATGGTGTTTGGCCATTAGTGTTTGGCGTCTGTAACAGCGTTTGGTGTCTGTAACAGTATTCAGTTGATTGTGTCTGTAACTTAATGACAGTGGTGACATTTTGCATGTTAACTTCTTGTTATTGTCCTTTCAGACAATGCTCTGACTTGTTGAGTCAGGCGCAATACCATGTAGCGCGGGCACGCAAGATAGACGAAGAGGAACAAGAGATCAAAAGACGTCAAGAGAAAGACAGGGAAGCTTTGCGAGCCAAACAAGAGGAGCAATATGTAAGTCAATATTCTATGCAATCTCTTATGAAATGTAATTTTATGTGTGAGGCAGTAGATATCATATAGGGATTTCATTACATTAAATATTCTAGTGAGCTCAATAGTCTCATTCTTCTGATATGGTAATTTAGTCTTTATTATACAAATAGTAACTGCCATTGAGGGAAATAGTGCAAAATATTTTTCCCGAGGGAATATCCTGTCCACTGACATGTTCCCGAGGCTGCAGGCCTATTAGGGAAGATAAAACATACTTATGACTGGTCACATGACCTATCTGGTGATTAGTACATTTCATCTTCCCTGATAGTAGGGATTTAGAACTGTTCAGGGAATTAGTTCATCTATTTCATATCAATATAATATGAATAAGCCAATGAGCACCTAGAATACATATAGGGTATATAATAAATAGAAATATCACACCTATAGATATAGAAATTTGTTTTATTTTCTGCCCTTAGGCTGAGAAGAAGCTACAGAAAGAGGAACAAGACAAGAGACTACTGGAAGCGAGAGCGGAGTATATCTTGAAGACGACAAAGATGAGGGAGCTTATATCTGAACCAATGGCAGAGGATAAACCTTCAAGGAAGTCAGGCGGCAGGGTGAGTTTACAAGGCTTTTGGCCTTTGTTAATGTCACCACTAGAAATGGTGACATATCACCAGAAATGGTGACATATCACCAGAAATGGTGACATATTGTTACTGTCTCTTTTGTGAATGGCAGTTTGTGTTCGGCATTGTAACAAAGTCTTAGGGCATCTTTTACAAATTCTTACATTGTCTGTAACAAATGGCAGGTGGTGACATTTTGCATATTAATGCCTTGTTTTCCTTTATTAAATGATTCTCAGCGATGGAAGCGTAGGACTTAGATATTCCATCAATGGTTACCCTGATTTAAACCCATCTCTATAGACTGTTTGCTTAATTGCTTTGAAATCTCTTCTAAGTCTCATTTTTAATGAGATTTTAGTAGACCCTCATTTTCAATCATTAAAGACTAACATTTCTATTTAATGGCATATTTGAATTTTGTGTGTGATTTTCTGTTAAAAAAAATTTACACAGTGATTTACCCATATTCAATTTTCCATGAAAGCTATCTTCATCTGGAATGACTGTATTCCATAGAACACATAAATAAAACCCCGAACGTTTGAAAATTATGAAATTATACTTTCTATAGAAATTCTTTGACAAAATATACCTCTAAAATACTGCAAAAACATCCTTCCAAATGAATTTAATTATCATTAAAACTTCTCAGATCAACTGATATTAGGTTACTCAGAATGGTTTGAAAGGTGAATTTTTCTGAAAATATGCTGGAGCTGAAAATTTTAAAGATAGAATATACTAATTTCAGTCAAAAGTCCATTTCTAAATTGTCTTAGAGAGTGACCAGATCAACTTGACCTTGGAGTTTTAACACAGGCCATCAATTTCACTTCCAAATATGGAAGGTCCAGAAATAGAGCTGTCAATCAAATCTGGAAGAAAAAACTATTCTTAGATTGATTTGTCATGTGTTGATTGTGATTTTCCTCAGACCCACAGTTTTAAAAATAATTGGAGTTTTAAAACAATGTTTAAATTTTTATTTGCATGCACTTAAAAACAATTTGATAAATATACAGGTCAGTGTGACCTATTTGAAACTAAATATTGAAATTCATAGCTTAAACTCCTTCATAAATTGAACTAATGTCAAAGTTAGTAGCTTTATTGGTGGAAGCTTCAGAAAGATTATAAATATTAATTAATGTCTGTTTGGGTAATAAATAAATTACTATAATTAAGGTTTGTTTTGTGGGATATAATATAATTTTTTTTATTTTACATCCAATCTGTCCACAATCAGAAATGTCCAAGAGAAATATCAATTTTTTTGAATTTTTCCAAATTCTCATCTGGTTGCAATTAACATCTTGACTACCTGGGGTGACAAGATTTCTCGTCACCTCAGAAATGACCTTGAGACCCCACAGTGACGAGAAAATCTGCCACAAAATTTTTCAATAAAATTGCTCTATTTGAACAATTTTCATCTAGTTTACACAAAAATTGTTTTAAAACCTGTAGAAATGATCTGTGTCATCTAATTATACTAAATTGAGCATGTTGTTTAATCAAAAGGTGGGAAAAATAAAAAAGTCTCTGGTTTCAACCGATATTACAGCCTGGGATTCTCATTAAAAATGAGACTTTAACGAGATTTCAAAGCTATATAGAAAAAGGACCATTAGGTGATCCTGATAATGTCTCAAGTAGGTGGTGCTGTACCATAGCATGTGTTGTAATGGTTACAATGGTAGTTTACTAACTCAATTTACATGCAGGGGTTTCACTAGAATTTCTCACAACAGGCTAAACGAATGAAAACAACAGGCAAAATTAATGGAAATCATAAATTTAACATGGAAAAGTTGCACTTAGTCTCTAAAAACAACAGGCGATTTTGTGAAAACAACCGGTGAAAATCGCCTGTTGCCTGCTGTTAATGAAACCCCTGACATGTAATGGTTTCTCTACAAGGATTTTAGTGTGACAGTCCTTCTACTGATATTGGGTGTTGGTGGCAAAGACCCCATTATAGCGGGTCGATAATATTTAATTACGGTGAAAACATACACAAAAAATATGTATTATTTGTTGAGAATAGATCATGATTGATCAAATTTGTGACTCGCAACCTTCAAATGAAATGGCTGTGTTGCATAGAATTCTGAGAAGTCATGGCATTTACTATTGACCTCAAGGCTAATGAGAATATGTCAAGGGTGTTTATTTGACTTTCACCATTCCCTTTAAAAAGGCCCCATACAAAGATTGAAAATAATGTTTACCCAAATTTTTGTCAGAGATTTTTTTGAAAAACCGTTGTTTTAAATGTTTACCAATCATTTTAGCAACAAAATTTAAGATTTTTAGATCATCAAATATATCGTATACATTGTATGGATGTACATGTAACATGTTATTTTCTCCTCTCTTATTGACAAAAATTGTAGATTTGCTATATTGTAAGGATACCCCGTGACACTCATTAATTTGAATTGTATTTTTCAGAAGAAAAAATATGATTCTGACTCCTTCTCTGGTAGTTCAAGTGGTAGCGATGCTGCACCACGCAAGAAGAAAAGACGTGATGCTAGTGGGTCTGGCGGAGAAAATGATGAAAACCGACCAAGAAAGAAATCTAAGAAAAAGAGAAGGTTCGTTAAGTAGAGGTCTTTCATATCACGATCTTTGTTAACGGGTGACGCATATCGTTTAGCAAATCGAACGCTCGTTTCTGGTGTTGCTCACCATTCAGTATAAAAGGCTCGATCCCGGAATAATACTCAAGGGTTCAAAGGCTTGAGGTTGTTGTGTCAACACCTCTAACTTTTATATAACATTGGTACAGTTTAGATCGTCACACATTTATAAAAGGGAGATTTTCATTTTAACAAATATATGGGAAGCTTATTATATCGGAACCCTTTAATATCAATACTCCAACGTGTTTCTGGATGTGTAAACCATTTATTTCTTTAATTTGACTCCCTGTGTCCTACTAATGAAAACCTGTGTATGTAAATCAATAGTTCATTTTACAGTATTTGTTACAATAGAAAAGTGTCACCTTCAATATAGTTTACAGCATTTTTCAACAGGATATAGCGGGGGCTTCATTTTTCATTGAAAAATGATTTCAATAAAAATAACAATTGGGCCAGTTTTTCATTAGTGGCATTTAACAATGAGATAACGCAAATTGAAGCAAATGTTGTCATAGCGAAGCAGATTAGTTTTTCAGATTATTCAGATTAGTGATGAAGATAAATGAGTAGAGATATATCTTTGTATTCAAATGTGTCAATGTTCTAAACCGAGGGAATCCCTGTTTTATTGGGAATGTACTTAAAACCCTTCGACCCTTCGACCCTGCAACCTACGACTTACAGCGTGTCAAGAATTTTTGAAATATATTTTTATAAAAACCCTTCGACCTTCTAGATATTTCTCAGTCCATATGAAGTTGCTGGAAATATTACTTTGTGTATAGAACTTAAGAATCTGTCCCAAGAGAGTTAAAGATATTTAAAGCTGGACTTTGATCGGAGCCGGCGATATGATTTTGGAAAGGTATCTAAATGAAGAACGTGACGTCACTTCCGAATCATAGCATTCAAAATAAGTAGCGTTTAATTACTTACACCATTCATAACATCACGGTGGTGTAGCGGTAGAATGCTCGCTTAGCACGCGGGAGGCCCGGGTTCGAATCCCGCAGTCGCCTTTTTTTTTTTTTTAACTAAATGATTGTTTTTTGACATTACGCGAAAAATTTTTTTTATTTACATAAACTTTATATTAGAGCTTGAAAATGTAAAAACAACATATGTCAACATATTGCGTTTTGGAGCGATGTGCAGGTTTAATGTATTCAAGCACATTACCTCCTCAGTAAAAATATTTGTGCTTTTCCCATCACATTGTAACAGTGGCGCATCGTGCATATTTTCAGGAGGTCAAATTTTTTATATAGTTTAAAGAGAACCGTCTTTTGATTTTGTCAACTTTGATTCAATTTGGATTTGTATAGTTAAGAATCCAATGCCAACTAAATAAGTAGATTCTTTGTTTTGCATCCTACAAAATCCAAAGCATGCAAGGGTACAAGGAAAATAAACACAAACTCAAGAAAAAGCTTGCAAGCTAGGTCATATCAGGTTCGTATAACCAGCTTTTGCCAATTTAAGTTTTTCAAAAGGATCAAGGGGTGAACATTTGACACTTTTCAAGTGGCCCAGAAATCTTGAAAATGGTCAGAATCGTGAAAAATTGTACTGATTTTGAGAGAATATTTGGCCAATGGAGTGGTCCACTTGAACCCACGAATGTCCCCCCTGGGCCCTGAATTTATACATTTTAAGGGCATAAAGGTTATTACAAACATCTATACAACTATATTTATTAGACATAGATATGATACATTTCAGAACTAGATAACAGCAATGCGAGATGGAGCAAATCCCATCGAACTTTTGATCTCAAAATCGTTCAACTACTTTTCAAGTTTTAGTAAAAAAGTAGGTAAAAAAGGTTTTTCGGCGTTCGTATTTTTGCTGTGTAGACGAACTTTTTTAGAAATTTTTCTACTGAAACATTTTTGCTTGACAATTACCAGGTAAAATGCGTATTTGCGTGCACAGGGAGCTCAAGTTGGAACTATACGTAATCATTTAGTAAACTGGACTGGGAAATCAGAGGTCGAAGGGTTTTTCAATAAAATATATTCCAAAAATTCTTGACACCCAGTAAGTCGTAGGGTCGAAGGGTCGTAGGTCGAAGGGTTTTTAGTACATTCCGTTTTATTGTTATTTTTATTGTTATTTTTTAATTTGTTTATCAATATATGAATCCAGAAATCATTTGGCTGTTTCACCACTTTCAACAAGAGAAAATATAGTGCTCCCTGCTACAGATGTGACAATAAATTGATGTTATTTCAGGCCTCGTCGTGACCATAGTGGCGGGGACAGTGATGATGAAGGTGGTAGAGGACGAGACCGCAAGAGGAAACAGCGCAAAAAGAAGGAAGGTAAGACATGTTGAAAATCTTTTTTGAAATATAACATTGCAAGTTATTTTACGTGACCACCACCACCACATATTGTTATAGTCTCCATTGTTTATTTGTTGATTCCTAATGCTTGTTTGTTGTTACGCAAAATGTTTGTTGGTTGATTTAAAATACTTATCTCTTCTTTATTTTATTATCAACTTTTATCAATTTTCATTCCAAATACTTCTTTGTTTATTTTATTCGGTTGTTGATTTTAGGAAAAGAGGGAAAAAAGAAGAAACTGAAAGAGAAATTTGTGGAGGACGATGGCCTGAGTGCTAAGCAACGTCGTAAGATTGTCTCTAAGGCCATGATCTCTAGCAGCGAGGGCTCAGACTCAGAGGGTGGCAGTAAGCTGAAGATAGCATCAGGGTATGTATAACAATATATGGAAATCATTAAAGACACCTAACTAACAAATATGGAAATCTTTAATGACACCCAACTACCAAATATGGCAATCTTTAATGACACCTTACTCCCAAATATTGAAATCGTCAATGACACCCAACTACCAAATATGGAAATCATTAAAGACACCTAACTAACAAATATGGAAATCTTTAATGACACCCAACTACCAAATATGGCAATCTTTAATGACACCTTAATCCCAAATATTGAAATCGTCAATGACACCCAACTACCAAATATGGTAATCATTAATGACACCCAACTACCAAATATGGAAATTTTTAATGACACCCAACTACCAAATATGGAAATCATTAATGACACCCAACTACCAAATATGGAAATCTTTAATGACACCTAACTAACAAATATGGAAATCGTCAATGACACCCAACTACCAAATATGGAAATCATTAATGACACCCAACTACCAAATATGGAAATCTTTAATGACACCCAACTACCAAATATGGAAATCATTAATGACACCCAACTACCAAATATGGAAATCTTTAATGACACCCAACTACCAAATATTGAAATCGTCAATGGCACCCAACTACCAAATATGGAAATCATTAATGACACACAACTACCAAATATGGAAATCTTTAATGACACCTAACTAACAAATATGGAAATCGTCAATGACACCCAACTACCAAATATGGAAATCATTAATGACACCCAACTACCAAATATGGAAATCTTTAATGACACCCAACTACCAAATATGGAAATCATTAATGACACCCAACTACCAAATATGGAAATCTTTAATGACACCCAACTACCAAATATGGAAATCTTTAATGACACCCAACTGCCAAATATTGAAATCGTCAATGGCACCAACTACCAAATATGGAAATCTTTAATGACACACAACTTTTCTGATGATCAAAGAGATGTTAAAAATCCCACTGATCAGGTTATTGAAAACACAGAATTAAATCCTTTTTTGTAGACCAGAGGCCTAATTCATGAAAGCTCCCCAAGCCTGCGCAATTCCACAACTCACTGCGGTACTGCTATTTCCAATTCACAAAGGGACCGCAAAGTCGGCATCACCGCAGATGCGGTACCGCGAGAATTGCGTCATTATCGTGCGGTACCTCTGTACTTACCGCAAGTCACTCTCTGAAAATTCAGTGTAATGAATCCTCTTGAAAAAACACTTAACATTACCTTTCAGTGATGGTAATATGTGCACGTGTAAACCTAGTATTGTCCTTTTATCAGGTTAAGTTTCCCAATAAAAAATTAAAAAAGGGAATGTGATATAGACGTTCAAATATGGATGTAAAAGCAACCTGTTCAGAGTATGTTTTTAAGATTTTTAAGGTTGCGGAACACCGCAACTTTAAGGTTAGTTTGAATGTTCGGAATTTTGCTGCAATCCTCAATAAAGTCACATGTTATTTTTCAATTAGGAATCACTCCTTCATCACATTCATTGTCTATATTTTCAGTTTTGCACGAAAAGTGCACTAATGTAACTAGAAAAGACTGGTGAGTGCATTTGCTTCGTAAAATGCATAAAAACAAGAAAATTCAGTGACAGAAGGTTAATTACGAACATACACGACAACCTTAATATAATTATCGTCATTTTGAATATCAATAATAAGTACTCTCTGGAAGCAATTGGAGAAACGTGAGACGTAAACATGTCTTTAGAGATCCGCCAGAGATTTTTGATGAACACGAATTACTGGAAAGATATCGTATGCATTAAATTATTATATATCAAAATGCATATTGATAGAATCTGCAAGAATGAAGCATCAAATAAAACGATCGCAAGCGCTTCCCTTTAATGCAGGGATATTGTTGTAATTATATTCTCGAAAATGTGAACCAACTCCCTTTAATTTCTAGAGGATACTAGATCAATTTTGCCTTTGCCTGGCTCTTCTATACTAATGCAAGGCGCTACTAAATGTTGATGTAAAAATCGGTAAAACCCCGAGGTAAAACCATGACTTAGAAGTAAAAATTCCGGTATTATGGCCATTGTTGATAAAAAATGTGACTCCGAGGTCATGATTTACAAGGGACACTAGAGCTAAAATGGGTCAAACTGACATTCCTGCCCTAATGAATGACACGGTCGTCATGGACACAGATTGCGGACACGGAGATTACATGCGGACACCTAATGGATTTGCGGATAGCTTCATGAATACCACGCAACGCAATAAAATGCGGACACACAATGGGTCCGCAAATACATTACGGACACGCAAGCTTGCGGATCTTTCATGAATTAGGCCTCTGATGTGAAAAAATCAATCAACACCAGTGGGGAGGAGACCCACGACTTCTCACTAAATACTGACTCATTAAAATTAAATTTTCTGAATCAGGCAGTTTTAGCTGAAATACACGAGGATGTGATTTTAAATGACTCCATTAGTAAATATAAAATTATGAAATTAAGATTTGGAGTTTAAATCACCCAAAATTTGTGTGTCAAGTTCACTGCTAATGAGTCAGAATATCAATATTTTCTTTAACAAAATTAATCGAAAGAAGGGTCCTTCCCACTGTTGGCTTTGCTCTATAAATTATTGCGTTGGATTATTTCCTGCTAAAATGACATTTACCCTCTTTTCTTAATGGAATTAGTTTTTGGAAAATTAGGAATTGGGTTTTTACTACTTATGGTAATGGCTAGAGATTAGATGTCATGATGGATTAACATGGCAATTAAAGAATGCCATTTTCTGTCCCGACCAATCAGAGCCTTATATGAATTTGATAAATCATGAAGAATACTGAGACACTTCAAGAGTCTTTGACAACACATCTTCAAAACACAAGGGTAAGCAAAATCAGGATCGTGTTATGAAATGAGAAAGAGTGAGGAGACTGCAAAGTCAATTCCTATTTGGTGTCATGCTCATAGGCATTTGATTTGATTTGAAAAATTTGTTCTGGGTTAACATCAGTAATAAGACTGGTCTTATAACAATAATGATAATTCAGGCTAAAACCAGTTAAAGCTGGACTGCGCTCCGAAACGCAATCTTGGGTTGTTTCGGGGGTGAACTTTATCATTTTGAGCTTAATGAAAGATTATAGAATGATGAACAAATGGGGCAAATCTTGTGTAGAAATACTTACGATAAAGGTGTCATTTCAAACATTTTTCATTGAATTTGCTTCGATCGGAGCCGGCGATATGATTTTGGAAAGGTTTCTAAATGAAGAACATGACGTCACTTCCGAATCATAGCATTCAAATTAAGTAGCGTTTAATTACTTCCAATATCCATAAGTACACGGTGGTGTAGCGGTAGAATCTTCGCTTAGCACGCGGGAGGCCCGGGTTCGAATCCCGCGATCGCCTTTTTATTTTTTTAACTAAATGATTCTTCTTTGATATTACGCAGAAAAAACAATTTTTATTTACATAAACTTTATATTAGAGCTTGAAAATGTAAAAACAATATATGTCAACATATTGCGTTTTGGAGCGATGTGCAGGTTTAATGATGAATATATAGGAATGTTTTTTCAGACTGCTTATCTATTTTTTGAGAGTTAACACAACTGATAATGGAGGGCACATTTTTGAAAACAAAATATTGTTATTTGCTTTAAGAAACCATTATTGATATTCAATAAATAGAAAAAGGGTGTTTTTATGTAGATTTTGATTTTCTAGTCAATATATTGCGATTAAGACGGATAGCCATTCATTTACAAGTTTGTGATCAGATATCGTGATTTCTGATTTTTATGTCACCACCAAAAGTGGTGACATATTGTTATGGTCTCCGTTTTTTTGCGACGGCGTCCGGCGGTTGGTGGTTGGTGGTTGGCGTCCGGCGGTTGGCGTCTGTAACAATTTCTTACAACTTCCTATAACTTAACAAATACTGTTTAGACTGACTTCAATTTTTTTCTAAATCATCTACATGTTCTCAGAAGTTCAAATCTGACTTTAGATTTGACATTTGACCTTCAATGACCTTCTCAAGGTCAAAAAGGTCTTTTTTCAACTTGCTTCACATTGACTAAATTTTTTTTCAAAATCATCTACATGTTCTCAGAAATTCAAATCTGACTTTAGATTTGACATTTGACCTTCAAATCTGACTTTAGATTTGACATTTGACCTTCAATGACCTTCTCAAGGTCAAAAAAGGTCAAAAAGGTCTGTTTTCAACTTGCTTCAAATTGACTAAATTTTTTTTTCAAAATCATCTACGTGTTCTCAGAAATTCAAATCTGACTTAAGATTTGACATTTGACCTTCAATGACCTTCTCAAGGTCAAAAAAGGTCAAAAAGGTCTGTTTTCAACTTGCTTCAAATTGACTAAAAAAAATTTTCAAAATCATCTACGTGTTCTCAGAAATTCAAATCTGACTTTAGATTTGACTTAAGATTTGACATTTGACCTTCAATGACCTTCTCAAAGTCAAAAAAGGTCAAAAAGGTCTTTTTTCAACTTGCTTCAAATTGACTAAATTTTTTTTTCAAAATCATCTACATGTTCTCAGAAATTCAAATCTGACTTTAGATTTGACATTTGACCTTCAATGACCTTCTCAAGGTCAAAAAGGTCTTTTTTCAACTTGCTTCACATTGACTAAAATTTTTTTCAAAATCATCTACATGTTCTCAGAAATTCAAATTTGACTTAAGATTTGACATTTGACCTTCAAATCTGACTTTAGATTTGACATTTGACCTTCAATGACCTTCTCAAGGTCAAAAAAGGTCTGTTTTCAACTTGCTTCAAATTGACTAAATTTTTTTTTCAAAATCATCTAAGTGTTCTCAGAAATTCAAATCTGAGTTAAGATTTGACTTAAGATTTGACATTTGACCTTCAATGACCTTCTCAAGGTCAAAAAAGGTCAAAAATGTCTGTTTTCAACTTGCTTCAAATTGACTAAATTTTTTTTTCAAAATCATCTACGTGTTCTCAGAAATTCAAATCTG